AAAAAAAAAAAGAGGAGGGCAAATTGTAGGACAGGAGGCCACAGATGTCAAGTGTTTTAGTCTTTGTCAAGCCAGCAAGAGGAGTCAGAGAAAAAGGCAACAGAATTTGGTTTTCACAAAAATGACCAACATCGGACTAAGGCATTGGTTGGCAGACAGTTGTGCCCAGAACTCTGGGGTTCCTTGGTGCTATATCAGGGCCTAATCTGTGAGAGCAGAGAGGACACTAATACTTTCTTGTTTTTAGATATTGGGATTTCAAGTAAGACTTTGGCAGAAGAATTGAGAGAAGCCATCCTGAGCTGGAATCAGCAAGAGCACTGAGACAGTGTCCCATGTAGACAAGAGGCATGGGAACTTTTCTACAAATGAAGGGAGCCAAAAAAGGGAGGTAGGTCTGTTAGGTCTGTGGGAGTTGGGAATAAGACTTGGGAATAGTGATGGAAATAAGGCTTTCAAGATGTTTTTATTTTTTCACCATAGACTGAAAATTATTGCAAGTGCTGTGCACGTAGAGAAGCTTTAAGTAAATATCAAAACTTTCTCTTCACTCTCCTTCCCTGCCCCCCTCCCCCCCAGTTCTGGGGCTCAGATGCAAGGGCATTGCATACGTTAGGCAAGTGCTCTACCACTGAGCCACTCTTCCAGCCCATATTCTCTGGACAAAAAGTTTAGTGCCATAAAAAGAACTTAACAGATTTAAAGAGAAAACAGCAAGGAAACTATTCAAATCATTATCATCTGTTGTTAATCAAGATCACATAAACCCATGATTTACTTAGTGAGAAATATTATAGTCATCACCCAGGAGAGGATTCTAAGGAGTGCTCTGTGATGTAGCTGAGAAAAGGCTAGCACAGAGATAAGCTAGAAAACAAGTAGGACATAGAATGCTCCAACTTTTCTGTTTTAAACTATTCTCCAACTGGCTTTTGGGAAGCAAATCAAAAAATCTAATTACTTTAAATAAAAGGATACGTTAATATTAATCCTAACTTTTTTTTATAAATATTTCTATAGACTGACTCATTCTTGGAGTGTTTCCCATAGTTGGCCTCTGTTGTAATTAAAAGTCATCCATGAGGGTTTATTTATGTGTTATGATGAACAATAATTGGATTTGACCAGAAAATGTATATAAGCATACTGGAGAATATTATCATTGGAATGAATGATTTAAACTATTGAGATGAAAGATCAAGATGGAACTTGGGCTGAGTCAAAACACTGCCAAAACATAGTCACCCTATTGTGGTTCTGTCAGCTCAATGGCATTATAAAATCACCTACCCTCTGAGCCTCAGTTCCCTCAGGAGTGAAATACAGGTGATACTGGACCTTTTTTAGAATTATTGAAAAGATGAGTTTCCAAATGCAAACCTTTAGTATGGTTCCTGCAGTATGTGGTAAGCATGCACTTATTGTTAACCACCATCATCACTAGGACTGTTAACATCATTCCAGTTTGATATAGTAGTACATATGCTCGAAAGCAACTATTTATGACCTTGAGTACATGTGCAGAACAGAGTGTTTCTGACCTTGACTACACACTGACTAAAGTGCTCAAGGTGGAATTAGAATCTAGCTCTGGCTCAATTCTAATCTAGACTTTTCCCACTATTCTGCCTGAATTCTTATGGTTGTTCCTCTAATTTAGAGATCATAATAAAAAGTATACTGTAAAGGATAAAGTAACTTTTATTGCTGATTTTATCAGCCTGACTATAAATGGATTTCCTAAATAAAATGGATGAGAAACTTTAAAATATGAGGAGAAACTTTTTTTATAGCTACAAGATATATTATTCGACATTAAATGCCTACCACCACCTCTGTAACAAACTGGAATCTCTGCTGAAAACTGTGGAACACCAGTTTGGTGCTCTAGGTATAAATTGAAAACAATCAACTTATGTGGGATTGTGATGGCATTTACTGGATCCTGGTTAGGCCATTCTATTTGAAAAAGTTTGTAGAGAACTCTTAATTTGGAATTTGAAGTATTCTTTTGGATAATTACATGAGTGAGTCTATGAAAATAAAGATTTTTTTCTGCAGGGGTAAGATATAGAAAACAGGTATTTTCTCTCTCTCGCATCCACTATGAACTAGAGCCCTCTCTATGAACACAGTACTTAAAAAGGACTCATGACTTCATATACTGTAACAGAGCATCTTAAAAAACATTTTCTTACTTGGTATCCATAATAACTACATGCAGTTGGTACAAAGGATGTCACTGAAGTTCAAAAAATATGAAATTTCTTTTCCAGTATCAAAATTAGACAATGATAGTCTTTCACATCTCACATACTTTCAAATACTTTTTTTTTCTTCCTTTTCTGTTATCTGGAGATACAACTGCAAAGGAGAACAGAGAAACATTTTTATATAGTGAAACTGTCACACAGAGGATGAGGCTCAGGGATTTGATGGTTGAAAGCTAGGAAGCATGGTGGGAATATTGGTCATCCTTTATTAGGAGGTAGCAAAAACCCCTAGTCAGCTATCCCCAACACCCCGCCTTCCCCAATCCATTTCCATAGGCTTTTTTTTTTATATCCAGGCCAAACAAAGAAAGCACAGGTTACATAAGTGGGCATATGCTCGCAAGCAACTGTTTATGACCTTGAGTACACGTGCTGAACAGAGTGTTTCTGACCTTGCCTACACACTGACCAAAACACCACGAATTCATGGCATTGATTATACACTAAAAACATAACACATCCTTTCAGAAGCCCCAGAGAAGGAGCCTAACTATAGCCATTTTAGGCATGCCTCCACAAAAACCCAATAGATTTGTGATATAGTTGGGTAATATCTTTTAAGACTTGCTTATGCCATGTAGTAATTTAATTTTAAAAAGTCAGTGACTAGGACACAAGATAGCAGCCACCCCAAGCTCAGGAGTAAAAGTCTCTTGCAATTTCCAACTTCTGGAAGAACTCAAAGAATGCCAAAAAGGAGTAGGAGATGGCACAGTTAACTGGGGTCTAGATGATGAAGACATGACACAAGATGGACAGGGATGATAATTGGGCCTCCAAGAACAATTTATGAAAACTGAATATGCAGACTTAAAATAAAATGTGGACCTAAATAACCAGAAGCACTCTCCTTTGTAAGATTTGTAACAAAAATTAATATGAATGGAGATAATAGTTCTAATGGAGTGGTGGACCCAAGAGCCACATCAGTGCTAGCAAAATGGCAGAATTCAAATGGCATCAAATTTGTTTTGCAAGAGTTGCAGTGCTTAATGATGTCTAAAGAAAATAGGAAACTCTCTCAGCCATTAGGACAGTGGTTACAGCAATTAATCAAAAAAGAAAAATTAATCATAAATCACAAGTCCCACCCCATTTGACTTAAGCAGTCATTTTCCAATGTAGTAACTTTTCTAGATACATCTTATAGACTTCAAAATACTGGAAAGGAAGCTCCCATTCAAAGGCAATTTATCTTAAGATACTGTAAATGACACTAATTTTTTGTTAATTTGATATATAAGTTGTGTTATAACAAATTGTTTTGTCAAGTGTAACCACTATTCATTTAGTTGAACTTCTAGGATCAAGAAAATCTATTTAAATTGATTCCCATCATGCAGGTGGGGCACATTTAACTCAACTGTGAAGTCATAATCACCTTGCTGCTGATTACTTGGTCTGGGGGCTCCACTCTTCTGGGGAGAGCCCTCTCCTGGGAGGCTTGCTACAGTAAAGGTTTCATATCACAAACCTGGGGACTACTGCTGACAGTGGGGAGTGCTTTGCCTGCACCCTGGTTTCTTTTTTAAGTCTTAAATGATGTTCCATCCAAGCCATCATCCTGCCCCACTCTCCTTCACTCTCATCCTTGGCCAAAGCACACTGTAACCCTCTGCCTCCTCAGAAATTGACCTCCAATGAGTAATTCATGGCTTTCCCTATCTCTCCTCTCCCCCACCTTTATCGAGGGTGCTGCTTTTCCCCTCCTCCTCAACTCCTTTGTCCCACTGTCACCACCCAACACTTTCAACTACCCTTCCTTGCTTTGGCCAGACGCCATCAGGTAAGGATGGAAAGTCTCTGAGCTCCCTCCTTTAGTTTTGAAAACATGTTAATTCACTGAGAAATAAGTATTGGATCCTGGGCCCTGTCCCCCTCAACTGATGCATCTTTGGTTCACATTTTTATAAGGTGAACAGGGCAGTTACCAGAGTTACATAGACCTTCTAGCACTCATAGCCCCTACTGCTTAGACTGGAGAAAGGCCACATAAAGACACTTGTAAGCATATAGGGTTCTTTTGGATTATTTCCTTTTCCTGTAATGACTTTGCTTTTAGACAGTAAAGAAGGTATGAACAGGGCTCTTGTTGGGTCGCCCTGCCATCCATGTGGGTCTAGTGTGGAATCTAACAACTGGAACTAGAGACCTGGCACAAACCCTGCTTTTGGTGCTCAGCAAGGACTGAGGAGGAACCCACGGTACATATACAGCAGATCCCAAATTGGTGGGGCTAGCCTCCTGGCACATCACTGTATCTTCATACTTCCTGTTCAGGACCACTAAATGCTGAAATGTGGATCATACAAAATAAAGCCAATTCATGGTGTTAGAAAAAAAAAAAAGTCAGTGACTAGAATCTCCTAGTGCATAGTTGATTAATATATCCTACATCCACCTCAGAGATCCAGTGCCATATCATTTGGCACCTCTATCATTTGGCACTTCTGACTCCTGAGTTCTGCCTCAGCAGGACCTCATCAGAGTAGGCCACTGCAAACAACCTCATGGCCAGTAAGCCTGAAAAGCATTTTAATGAAGACTTTGACCTGAAAGATAGGGACTGAAAGGCCAAAAGAGCTGACAATTAGTATACAAAAGTAAGAGCAATTCTGATGCTATTTTCAATTCAGGAATTGTCTCAGAAGTTGTGTGATTTATGTTGCTAGCTTTGGCCATTCCTCTGCTCCTTCCCTTTAAAATTAATTTTTAAATTACCTTATCTGATGAAAGTTGACAGTAGATTCCTCTCTGATTAGTCCTTTTCCAAGAGTACAGAATTCTTCCTGTTGGGCATCTGTGATCCCAGTTATTGGAAGGCTGAGGCACTAGGATCGTAAGTTTGAGACCATGTGGGGCAACGTAGTGAGACTATATCAAAATAAAAAAATAAAAAGGGCTAGGAATGTAGCTCAGTGGTAAAGTACCCCTGGGCTTGAGCCCCACTAACATACACACACACACACAAAAAAAAAAAAAAAAAAAAAGTGTTTTTAACCCCAAACAAATCTTGACCAAGTGAATGAAAAAATTATTTCCATGAGCTATCGATTTCTTCATACTTGGCACCAATTAAGGCTGTTGCAGGCCATTTTCCCCATTACCAGATTTCAGGAAGATATGAATTCCTTATGGTTCCAGTCCTCAGTAGTTCTGAATTAAGAGACAATAGGGAAAAGTGTAAAATAATGAGGCTGGTGTTAACCTGCTGTATGGTCGTAATCTGTTCTTCCCATGTGGTGGAGATGGCTTCAAGTCTTTTCTTCATTGAATCCTATAGGTTAAAATTATACTTCAGATGTGTGAGGTTTCCCACCTCCCTGGTGGAGCAAGTCATTCCCATCATTGACCTCCTGTGAACTAAAGAGAGTGAGAGATTTGTCAAGCTGTAATTTCCATCTGACTTTTCTATCAAAATAGGTACCATTAAATAAAACTGAGGAGCACTTGTAAGTTCTACTCAGTTTTGTGGGTAACAGAATGTGCTTCCCAGAATTGCAGCACATTAGGTACAACAAATTAGGTATACATACAATAAACATATGGAGGAGTTTGAATTTTCTCTGGCTTGATCTGATATAAAGAAATGCCATGGTTCTAGGTTCATTTTGTATATCAAAAGGAGGAGCTCTTCAACCATCCATTCTATTTACGATGGTGCTGACAGATGTAAAAAGGCATCAAAATGTGACACATTCATTGTTTTAATGTCAAACTTTGACTTAAGTGAAACTTCAGATACTACCATATTTTTCCTAAAATATTATGTACGGGTAAGGAGAGGAATTTTTGGTTTTCATTTTGTAGTCTTCTGTATTTTTTTAATGACTATGCATTAATCTTTTCCCCTAAAATATCAAGGTACCAAGAAAAAAGTACTTTTTATTGTTATCATTCCTCAAAATCTCTTACATAATAGCAAATCTTGATTATTACCATTTTGATCCTTTCTTTTTTTTTTAAATTTAAGAATAATTTTAACCTGGCATAGCGGTTTGCACCTATAGTCTCAGCTACTCCAGAGGCTTATGTTTATGTTATATTCCTCCAGTCCAGGAGCTTCTGATCAGTGTGGGCAACATAGTGATACACTGACTCAAACACAAAACAAACAAAAGAGCTGCTTTTTGGGGGTGTAGGGGGCACCAGGAATTGAACTCAGGGGCACTCAGCCCCTGAGCCACATCCCCAGCCCTCTTTTGTATTTTATTTTGAGAGAGGGACTCACTGAGTTGCTTAGTGCCTTGCTTTTGCTGATGCTGGCTTTGAACTCATGATCCTCCTGCATCAGCCTCCTGAGCTGCTGAGATAACTAGGATTACAGGTATATGTCACCACGCCTGGCTTTTTTTTTTTTTTTTTGAGTTGAACTAGAAATTTATTATGATTAACCCAGACACTATATGGTTACCTTTTGTGCTTTAGTCTCCCGAGTCACAAACTTTGAGGCTGAATCTGTTTGAAATTACTGAATCTTATTGCATTCAAGATAATGACAGAAATGTGCATTTCCAAGATGGAGATTATGAGGTAATGCAATCTGTCATGCACCAGAGCCTCTCAGAGTCCAGCAGGAGTCATGTGCTTTTGTCAGGATAACTGGCAAGGCTTCAGAAATGTTACCCTCTGGTTTGACCTTTAGAACTTATCCTAAATACTTAAAGCACTGAAACATGTCAACATTGTGGCTTATTTGGGGACTTGTTTGGAAGAGAACACTGTAAGCATTTTCATGGAGTTTGTTCCTGGTGGCTCAATTTCTAGTATTATAAACCGTTTTGGACCATTAAAAAAAAAAAAAAAAAAAAAAAAGAACTTATCCTAAATATCAAGTTTGGCATATTTGTGGTATTCACATAGATCATTTTGTATTTAATTTATCCAGTCTTTTACAAAAGCTCATTATGTGAGACATCATCAAAGCATACATAACTCCAGTCAGCATTATTCATAAGATGTCTCAAGACAAACTTTCATTTTCCTGTTATGTTCAACCATGTAGCTAATAATTATGTAGTTTTTCAGGGTATGCTTTATAATTTTCTAGTACTGAAGCAGTAATTTCAGGGTAATTTATACTACCATATTTTTCTTGAAATATTATGTATGGGTAAGTAGTCTTAGATGAAGGTGGTGATGGGATTTTAGTCCTAATTTCTTTCCCAAGGAAGATGATGCATTGGTGTGGTAGTTGCTAAGTATGTGGTGGAAATGGTTGTTGATTCTGTATACAAATTCTTTCACTCAAATATTGCATTCCATCCCCCACTTAAGGGGATGATGCATCTCTAGCAAAAAGTACAGCTAAGGACAGAATAGACCTGGGTTAAGAATAGAGGCCTTTTGGCATCTTATGTGGGGGTCCCTTCAGACGTCACCCGAGTGTGACAATCCAAGGCTTAACATTCTCCTCTCTCATCATCAGCTCCTTCTGTCCTCTTCTTTCTATGGCTTTCTGCTCTACTACATGGTTCGAGTCTGCTTTCCATACTCTCATGTGTCCTGGGCTCCTGGCTATCCTTTTGTCTGGCCACTGCTTTCTTCTTTCTTTCCATAGTTTACTCAATAGGTATTTGCAGAATACTGGGAATTCTTTGGTGAAGTAGCCCCTGCCCCTATCCTCATGGGGCTGCTAAGCTTTGAGGATAGTACCCATTTTCCAGCATCTAAACTTACTCAGGCTTTTGGTTTTCTGGTTTTATCCTCAAGTCTGAGAACCTGAGTAATGTGAATCCCCTCCTTCGTTTTCTTGTGCCATCATCACAGACCGATTTATAGGCCCATTTAGTTTTCTAAGCTGCTGGGCTAACAGTCAGACTCCAGAGCAGGCATGTTCCCCCTTGGGAAGCTCCTAAAAGATCCAGGCCCTAGACTTCTCTGTTAAATGGTCTCCCATTTTGTGATACTTTGAAACTACAGTTGGTGATTAATAGATTAAGCTGATGAAGTCCATACAAAACCCACTAAGATAAAAGAAAAGCAAAATAATATAAATAAGTTTGATCCATTAGATACATATAGAATACATATTCATATACATTTTAATATGGAGTATTAAAATTGGTTTTCCAAAACTGACATCAGAGACCACAAAACTAAATCAAATTATTTTTTAAGAAATTGGTAATACTCAGGGCTGGGGATATAGCTCAGTAGGTAGAGTGCTTGCCTTACATGCACAAGGCCTGGGTTCAATCCTCAGCAACACCAAAAAAAAAAAAAAAGAAATTAGTAATATTATTCAGGGTATACTTTATAATTTTCTAGTACTGAAGCAGTAATTTCAGGGTAATAAGTAAGTAATAGTAATAAGAGGAAGACACACAGAGTCGTTAGACCACAGAGTCATTAGAGTTTGAATTCAATTACAAATGATTCCTAGGATAAATGCATACCTTTGAACATTAAAATTCCTTTTACATATCTGCAGAGTCAAAGTAGAAGTCAAAATTTAAAAGATGGGAATTGTTAACAAGATTTTTTTCTTTTTTGGTACCAGGGATTGAACTCAGGAGTGCTTAGCCACTAAGCCACATCCCCAGTCCTTTTTTATATTTTATTTAGAGTCAGGGTCTCACTAAGTGGCTTTAGGGCCTCTCTAAATTGCTGAGGCTGGCTTTGAACTCATCTCCTCCTGTCTCAGCCTCCAGAGCTGCTGGGATTACAGGCATGTGCCATCCTGCCCAACTGTTAAAGAGGTCTTGAACCTAATACATACGGCTCTGTTTTTTGATACATTCAATACCTTGCTTAATGGTAATAGTGTTATTTCACATATGAATTTAAAATTCTCCTTCACAGTGCTTCTTTAAAAATTTAGATCAGATTTAAATACACATACACCTACATTATAAACAGGTGGGAAATAATTACCAAGCATAAAATAGAACATAGGGGTTGACTTTAGCTTTAACTGAGTTTCCTCAAAAGCACAGAACAATGAACATTTTAACAGCTCAATGTTATGAGATTACAAACAAAATACTTAGATCAAATAGTTGCAGTATTCTTCATTGCTTATTTCACATAAATGAAGGTTTTTAAAAAAGAAAAAGAGCCAAGCATGGTGGCACATGCCTGTAATCCCAGCGGCTTGGGAGGCTGAGACAGGAGGATTGTGAGTTCAAAGCCAGCCTCAGCAATGGTGAGGCACTAAGCAACTCAGTGAGACCTTGTCTCTAAATAAAATACAAAAAAAAGGTCTGGGGATGTGGCTCAGTGGTCGAGTGCCCCTGAGTTCAATCCCTGGTACCAAAAAAAGAAAAAAGGAAAAAAAAAGTCAAGTGATGAACTTCAGTGAGACCCAAGATAAGCATTTCAATTTCAAAACAAAACTGAAATACTAATAATCACTATTAAGTACAAAAGTATTTCAATACAAGTAAAAAGTCCAGTTTACCAGCAGGGCAAACTAACAGCATTTCCAAACCTGAGATTAAATTTGTGTAAATATGTACAGTACCACATGGTGAAATGCACTTCTTGGTTGAGCCCTCTATATCCAAGGCTGACAAGGGGTTCCTGCTGAATTCTCTTAGATTCCCAATCTAAAAAGCTACCATAAGTTTTAGGCCATGGGCTGGAAAGACTGAAGTCTGTAAAAAGGAGATCAATGTTTGAGCAGGATGGAGTTCTTTTTCTGATGGGTAAACTAGTAACATTTCCAGCCCAATCTCAGAGCCTTCCATGCTAAGGGTGCACATGATAACAAGCTTACCTGATGTGCCCTTGATTTCACTGGGGACAGCATGCAGAGCTGGATACAGAGGAGAAGTGATGGGACTAAGTTCCCCACAGTGGATGCTGCTTTGCAACCAGAGCATTCTAAGTCAACTCTGTATAACAAAAAACATATATGTGATTCTTTATCCACTGTGACCAGATGGCTCTAAAGCAGGGAAAGTCTATATGCTAAGCCTTCCTCTTATTACTATTTCAAGCATTAGTGGTGAGTTCTTTCCACTGTGGTTCTTACAGGCACTTATAGGGTTACCACGTTTTCTTTCTTTCACACATACCATATTTACACTGAACCTTGGAACTTCAGGTCTTTTAACAAGTACAGCCAGACCAAAAGAAGAAACATTGAGAAGCAGACTCAGTAGCCAATTATTTGCATTATGATGTTAGGAAAAAAAATCACTGCTAGTAGATGATTTTTTTCTAAATCATTTAGCATTTATCAAATGTCCTACTTTCCAAGTAGGAAAGTTCTAATTCTAACTTCTCTATTGGCCCATATGCAACACAACATATTCTGTTCCTAAAAATTTGTGGCAGGATTTGCTTCCCTGGCTGTCTATGATGCTGCTACTAAATGGGCTTACAGATGCAAAATACCTCAAAATAGCCTTTGTTAAGTAATTTACCTGCCCTAATTTTCAAGTCTTGAATTCCAAGTTTCTAAATTTTGAAAGTAATTGGATTGAAAATTGTCTTATTCTATTTCATCCATTTTCTTACATTTCAGAAGGGCACTGTAAAAATTAAAACTGCCAAAACAGAAATTCTGAGGGCTGGAATTATGGGATAGAAATCTACTTAAATAAAAAGCAGCTTAAAAATCATGTTGTTAGGTATAAAATATCCATTGGAATAGCTAGTTATCCATTTGATGCTTAATAACATCTCCTGCTCTTTATCTTTCTACCTCTCCCTGCTCTTTGCATGTATTACCAGTTCTCCAACTGGTAGGCTCATTTTCTACATTTAGAAAACAGGACAAATGAAACTCACTTAAAAAGAATTAATTGAGGCCTAAACATGGTTACTTTCAAAAAATGCTCAACAAAGTGCTGGGTATATCATAAGCACAATAAAAATAGGCACTGTTACTATGGTCAAGACAGGGAGCATGGCACAGTGGTCAAGAGTTCAGGGTTTGGGGTCAGACAACCTGGGCTTCCATGTACATTTACAAGCTGTGTAACCTTACACAAGCCACCAACCTCTCTACTTCTTTTTCCTTGTCTTGTAAGAAGAGATTAAAATACCCATGGCATGAGATTATCTAGAACCATGTTTCTTGAACTAGTAAAGGACTAGTTTTTATCATTTCTGTCTCTGACCACTACCTAGCTCTACTATGCATGACTATGAAGTAGCTCCCTTCACCTACAAAGCATCAGGTCAGCAATACCTAGAGCTGGTCTCCACTTGCTTGGTGTTGTAACATCATCACACTGTAAAGTTTTGAGACCACCTTCCAAGTAGCACAATTCCACAGCACTGGTCTCAACAATGGCAACTTTCAATCAGAGGACACTGACAATAGGTGAAAACATTTTGATTCTCTCAACTGAGAGTGCTGTTAAACCTCCTACAATACTCAGGGTAGCCTCCCTCTGCCTAAGAATCATTTGATCATATATCTCAGAAATATACAGACTGAGAAACCCTTTTCTAAATGGTTAAAGAGGATAACTTGTGGAAACTACTTAGCAGAGTGCTAGATACACAGTAAGTGGTCAATACACAAAGGATAGAAGGATATCCAGTTGATGTAGAGTCAAGACAATCAAAAAATGATACTTTGTGGCCTCTTTGTACATACAAAGGCCAGGAACAGAGGAAAGGGTGGACTTCGGCAGGACAAGAGGCATATTCACAGTGAAGTCTGCCAAGCTTTAAACTTCAGGGCTCCTTCCATAGTCATGCACACTTCCATGTACGGATGTGTGTGACTTTAGATTCTTTCAAAGGTTTCACAGCCCACAAAACCCAGGTTCTAGTACTGGCCCCACTACTTTCAGTGTAACCCTGGGTTTAAAAAAAGAAAAAAATCACCTCTCTGAGCTTCATTTTATTTCTCTGTAACAGGCCTGAAACACTACTGTTCCTCATTAGTTACTGTGAGGCAAAAATAAATTCATACATACAAAGTGCTTAGCAATAACAGATGGTATACAGGACATGCTCAATAACTCTCAATTACCATTATTACTATAAGTATTGGCTTCTTGAGGGAAAAAAAGAGGGGATGAGGTACTTGAAGCACCTTGTTGCCTAGCCTAAGCCCATGCCACTTCACAGGAGAGGATCAAGGCTGGGATGCAGGTTGTCTGATTCCAGTTCATTTAGGCACAACCAACATTCAAGGAGGGCAAATTGACTACCCTGCCTTTGTGCTGAGCAGTAAAATAGGCCTTCCGAGAGGGGGTCGCGGGGCTCCCAGAAAGGCCCCTCACTCAGTCTCACGTTCCCTCACTCAGTCTCCCGGTCCACCGGCCCACGCCAGGATGCCGCGCTGGTGCAGGCTTGACCCCACCTTCGCTCCTGCTCACCCAAGTTCCGCCCGCAGCACTACAAACCGCAGGTTCCGCTCAACCAGGCTTGGTGCCTCCGCCTGCCGCACCAGAAGGCTCCAGGGGCCCAGGTACTGCCACAGTCATTCAGAACACAGACTCTTCCCTGTTCGCTCAAGTAAAGCTCCCGGCTCGTTGTGGGTAAGGGGCCACTTCCGTCGCAAACTCCGCCCAGCTGCACCTGCGCGCTCCGCTATCAGCCGCCTCCACTCACCCGGCTCCGGTCGTTGCTGGGGTAACCGTTCGCCCAACCAAAATTCTCGCCTGGGTAAAGGTTGGTCCAGGATTAATGTTCCTTTCAGGCTAACTTTCTGCTTTCATCAACCTGCCCTTCCTGGCAGTGTTCCACCGCCATTACTGATTCCCTGTGACCAACATGGCCCCATCCTTTGATCCTTTGTGCTCTAGGATCTTTGTGGATTAGACAGGAGGTGTCTCCCAAAGGCTCACGTGTGAGAGAATGCAAGAAAGTTTAGAGGTGAAATAATTGGGTTATGAGAGCCTTAATCCAAACGGTGAATTAATCCAGTTCATTAACTGGGCAGTAACTGTAGGCAGGTGGGGTGTGGCTGGAGGAGGTAGGTCATTGGTAAAAGAAAAGTGACCACAACACTCAGAACAACCAAGAGATCTTTATTGCAGCAGTGCAACAGAGGAGAAAAGAGAGAAAGAGAAGAGAGAGAGAAAGAGAGAGAGAGCGCAAGAGAGAGACAGAGAAAGCAAGAGAGAGAGCAAGAGAGATAGCAAGAGAGAGGGGCCCGGCAGGAGGGAGTTTTTATAGCCCAAATCTAATAGGGTCTTTGGGTCTGCAAGCTGCCTTGTTGTCACAAGGGGGGTTAAGTGTTCGGCCTTGAGCTGCAGGCTGAGTGTTCAGCCTTGAGCAGGGGGGCAAAGCGCTCAGCCTTGAGTGGGGGCTTGGGCGTTTGGGCTTGAAGCAAATAGTTGATAAAGAACCAGACAGAGGGTTTGAGAGGCCAGGTCATCCTGAAGCTAACTTTGTTTGGCATGCCCTGCAGACAGCTTACTCAGCCTGTCCTGCACCTAACAATTGGAAGTATATCTTTAGGGTTTATATTTTGTCCCTGGTAAGGGAGCTTTCTCTGTGCTTCCTAGCGCAGTGACCTGAGCTGTTTTCCTCCACCATGCCCTTCTGCCTCACCTCAGGCCCAGAGCTGTGGAGTCCGACCATTGACTAAACCTCAGAAACCCTGAGCCAAAATAAACTTTTCCTCCTCTTATTATTCTTGTCAAGTCTTTTGGTCACAGGGACACAAAAGTTGACAGTTGACTAAAACAATGCCTCATTCCAAAGAGATCTCCTAAGTTTTCTCTCCTCCTCCTCCTTTTTTTTTTTTTTTCTTCTTTTTTAAATGAATCCATGCTCTTTTTTTTTTTTTTTATACTAAATCTTCAACACACACACACACACACACACACACACACAAATCTTCACTACAGGCCCAAGACATTATATTCCCATTTTACAAATGCCACCTCAGGAACTCTCACCTGAACATACTTTTGTAAAACTGCAGCCCTTTTGCTCCTTCAAAATACACACTCACCCCCATGTTCTTTAATTCCCAGTGCCCTTAAAATACATTTTGTAATCTTAGTGCCTGCCATCCTCAGAGTACCTTTTGAGTACTCTATAAAGTATAGGAGGTGGCAATTGTGTTCTTGCTGGCTGCTTTATTGCAGAGTAGCATATTATATTCAATGGATGTTTGCTGAATAAATGAGGAGGCAGCTTAGTTGAGTGTTTGGCCCAATGCTACGTATAGTAAGTGGCAGACCTAGAACTTGACTCCTGTATAATTCATTCTCAATCTGGAGCTTTACTTCGTCACATACTGAGTCACTTAATCATTCAGGCTTAATTTGTAATAGGATTGGTAATATATACCTCACAATGAACAAGCCATGCAAAGGAGATATGGCAAGCATTCTGTATACTCGAGATAGTTATACCCAAATACATGAGATTCCCAAAGAGGAGTGTCTTTTATTTGTTTAAAAATTTTGGGCTGGGAACATAGCTCAGAGATAGAGCATTTACCCAACATGCAGCAATGCCCCAGCACTGGGTTCAATCTCCAGCATTGTAAAAACAAACAAAACCGAAAAAGGTTTAAGTGCCTACCATGCCCCTGTCCTCATGTAACTTCCAGTCATTAGCCAGATAATCAACAATCACCAAGAGAGAATTATATAATTCAAAATTGTGATAGATGCTATAAAGAAAAAATAATAACAATGGGATACAGAGTTTAGACATCAGAGAGGAATGTTCTCATTAGGTTTGTAGATTTTCTTCCTGGAGATCTAGCTCTTGGAACTGTTGGAATGTAGGGCATGAAAAGAACCCCCATTTGAAAGGAGGAAGGAGAATGTTTCTCTTTAGATAAGCTGAGGACCCTGACTCATTAACTTCTCTTGGACATTTTTCCTGATGGGTCGATCAGTTCATGCTAATATCCCTGTGTTTTTGATGTGTTTACAAGTACAAGTAGGCAGTGGAGCACAGGGACAAGGCTTCCAATCCCATTCGTTTTTTGCCCCTCAATATCACCACTCTTGAGTCTCAGCACCTGCATCTAGAAAATGGGGATGATAAAGAGAGTTGACTTCTGAGTTGTCACAGGATTGAATAAGAAGAGCTGACATCAGACATTGTAAGTGATCTATACATTAGCTATGTTATTGTTCTGGGAGATATGTCCTAAAGAGTGGGTTTGGAAAAGACCTTATAAATCTTATATTCAAATAGTTTGTGGTTTGTTGAGATGCCTGGATTTCTCTGCTTTCCTGTACTGCCTATCATTCACTTATTCCCATTCAAATCTCTTCAATAAAAGGAAGTGCAAGAGAGACAAAAGAAGGGTATGCAATTATTTAAAGACAACGTGTTGTGTGGAAACACACTGTGAGCATTATGACTTTTCTGTTCCTGCTTTAGGGTTTTTGCTGTCTCCTTTACTTACAGTGCTCTTCCTTGGGAATTGTACAGGGCAGGCCTCTGCACACTACTGAGGCTCAGCCTGAATGTCTACTCCTCAAAGTACCCATTTCTCATATCTCAAAGCACCCCCTGCAATCATTCCTATTCATAGTCCTTGTCTTTCCTCATGAATAGTTTTTATCATTGTTTGCATTGTGTTCTTTCTGTTGTTGTTTGTCTTCCCTGCTGAACTGTGAACTCTGTGAAGGCAGAGACAATGTCCAGTTCACTATTTTGTTCTTGATGCCAGAACAACATCTAGAACAGAATAGTGTCCTCACTGTTGATTGGATGTAAAGCAATAATGCAGAAGAAGTAAAAAAGAAACATGCTTGTCAAAAAGGACTGAAGGAGAAAGAAAAAACAATAAAAATATTGAAAATAGACTGTTTTCTCCACTTAATAACTCCACATACATTTCTCCATTCCTAACATGGTAGACCATTCGGAATTAAATATAATAATCTCTGCCACAAAGTTCTCATAGCTCCTGATCTTTTGATGCTTGGTTCATAATACCTTTTGCATTGCATTTCGGGGATTTCTGAACTTCTCTTATCTCCCTAACTGGACTCTAAACTTCTTATATCAGGGTTGCAGGACACCAAGATTTGAATTTCAGATAAATAATAAGTAATATTTAGTAAAGGTACATCCCAAATTTTGCATGGGCTATCATATTCTTGTTTATTTAAAATTGAAATATAACTTGGTATCTGTATTTTTTATTTGATAAATTTGGCACCCTTATATCCAGAGCACAATCTAAAACTCAATCACCTTTGTACCTTTCTTTTGCCAGGTTTTAGCATGGTGTGTTCTTGACATACACTAGGTGCTCAATAAATGCTTGTATAGTGAATATTTCATGATTACAGAGTGAGGAACTTATTTGTGCATATCTAGGTCACAAAATTTCAGGTGACAAACTCATATTCATAGTTTTTTTTTTCATAGAAACAGCAACAAAGGAAAAAATGAAAAATTGAGAATCCCCATTGATTAATTAATTAGGTTTATGGTAAAATACATGTATAATATAACATTTATCATTTTTATCATTTGTTAGTGTACAATTCACTGGCATTAAATTCACAAATGCTGTGTAACTGTCACTGCTATATATGCTCAAAACGTTTTCATATCGCTAAGAAAAATTCTGTACTTAGTAAACAAGAAAACTCCTTCCTCCTCACCTTCCTTAGTAAACTCCTTCCTCCTCACCTGCAAACTCTAATTACTTCTATTATGTTTCTATGAATTTGACTATTCTAAGAATTGTATTTATAGTGGAATCATATAATATTTACCCTTCTATTCCTGGCTTATTTCACTAAGCCCCAGGTTTTCAAATTCCATTCAAGTTACTTTTGTGTCTAAATAATATCCCATTATGAGTTCATACATGCTTTGGCTATCCAGTCATTTTCAGATGGTCACTTATGTTGTTTCCATCTTTTGGTTACTGTCAATAATGCTGCTATGATCATTGGTGTATATCTGTTTGAGTTCTTGTTTTCAAGAACTATTCCTAGGAGTGTAATTGTTGAGTCACACAGTAGTTCTGTGTTTAACCTTTGGAGAAACCACCACACTGTTTTCCACAGAGGCCATATCATTTTACACTCATTCCAGCAACACATGAATGTTCTAATTTCTCCACATCCTTGTCAACACTTATTTTCTGGTATATTTTTTAAATTATAGCTATCCTTGTGGATATGAAGTGGTATTTAATTGTGGTTTTGATATGCTTTGGGAGGCACAATTTTAACTTAGGCAAGATGTGGTTTGTTACTGTGGTTTAAGAAAATATTTTAGCAACCCTTTCAGTTATGAAGCAAAGCATGGAGCACAGTCTGGAATAGGAGGTTGAAGACAAAGAGCTAAATTGCTCTATATAAAATTGACATAATTCTGCTTTTTACTTGGTACCTGAGAGACATGTGGTGGGGATCTTGAGATGGTAGGATGATACCAGTGGTGGGAGAAAGGGCTGCCAGCGTTATAGTATCAAGAGGCTCACAAGATAGTCAGTCAGTGATACCTACTATTTGGATTTCTGTGGCTTCCTATGCTGTGCTATTGATTCCAAAACCATCCTATCCCCAACATTT